GTGCGGGGGGGGAAGGAGCGCCCTCCCAGCAGCCGTGACGGCTTGGTGCCGCACGCGGGTTTCTGTCCGTGAGTGCCCGGGGCTGTTCCTCGGCACATGGGGCAGCTGGGGTGAGCGCCTGCAAAGAGAAGCAAGGTCATTGTCACCCAGGTTACTCCTCCGTGGGACGGTGCCGGGACCTGTGGGCAGGCTGGCAGGTCCGAGGAAGCAGCACGAAGTTCAGGGCGGAGGCACGTGGCTGCATCCCAGCCCTTCTCGGGGGACACCGAAGGCTGGGCGGGGGGAGAAGCAGCACAAGGCAGAGGCAGAAAGGCAGGAGCAGGGTTTTCTTTGTGAGGATGGGGGTGTGCTTCACCTCCCCGCGTCTCTTTCCTTTGCAGGACGCACCGACACGCGGCCCGGGGTGTGGGAGAAAATTGATTTCTGCTAAGATAAAAGATCTCATAGCGCCTGGGAATTTTCTCCCTGTGAATTGATTGAATTTATTGATTTTAATTTTGATAAGCTGGGCAGCTCCGCAGAGCGTGCTGGTGGGATCTGTTCTGCCTATCATGAATGATTTCTGTGGCTCCTGTCTGGAGTCTCCCCGACAAAAAATACTGCATCCAGCTCCAGGTTTTTAAAGGGATGCCAGCAGTGTCACTGCCGCAGCAAGGAGGACAGTTGTCACAGCTGAGTGGACTTTTTTCAGGGTTGGGACCGTTCAGCTGAATTTGTCCATCAGTCTTCAGCGAAAATGTTTTGAGCTCTCTGCCCATGGAAGAGGGGAAGAGCAGCCGTCTGTCGAGCACCAGAGAAGGCACAAACCCACCTCTCAAAAGGGGGCTGATTCTTACACCAGAGAGTATTTTTGGAAAAGTTTCTCTTGTCTTTTCTTGGTTTTGTCCACAAAGCCTGGTGGAGCAGGGACTGGGACCTGCTGAGTACCTGGTGGAGCAGGGACTGGGACCTGCTGAGTACCTGGTGGAGCAGGGACTGGGACCTGCTGAGTACCTGCCTGCGAAGCTGCAAACGGTTTATCTGCTTTCCTTCTCTGGCTCTCTGACAGCACCATCCTTTCTTTTGCTTTTGTCGGAGACCTGGAAGGGGAAGCAGAGTGCTTTGGTTTGGATAGGAGGAAATGTTTTATTCGACCCAAAAGGAAGAATCCCTCTCCCTCCCTGTTTCATTGGAAAAAACGTGGAGCGATGCAATTTCAATTTTGCCAGAACTCATTCTGGGAGGGAGACGGGGGAGCGCAAGGCTGACGTGAAACGCTGCCTTTCAGCTGTCTCTCCTGGTCTGCGGCTCGTCGCCGCTGCTCGGTGCTGTACGGGGCAGGGACGCTGCGCGGTGTCCCCTGTGCCCGCCCAGCCCTTCCAGCGTCTTCGCTGTGCCGGGGACACTCCCTCAGGCTGTGGCCAGAGTTTTTGTTCCCGAGTACGGCTTGGCTCCTTGGCTTTGGTTTGTGTAAAGCACATTTTATTGGCCTGGCCCCAGCGTCCCCAGTGGCTTTATGACTGTGCTGTCCTCATCGCTGTTTACCACTCGCCAACCTCCGTGTCTCCCACAAGTTCTGTCAGCGATGATTTTACACTTGAGGATGGGGAGATGAGTGTTTTGGGTGGCTGGGACTAGCGCTGGACACCCTGTCTTGCACTCTGTGGAATGCCTCTAGAAACCATCCTCTTCCTCCTCAGTTTGGTACATTTTGGTGACATTATCGTGTTTTTTGAGCAGACTGTTGCAAGAACGTCCCCATTACATTTGTCCCTCAGAGCTGTAATTTCATCTGACAATAAAAGGAGATTATTTCGTGGCGTGTCTTCTCCACAGCAACGTTGCTTAGCCCTAGCTGTGTTCCCCTGGAGCCCTTCCTTATCAGGTGAACTTTGGATCAGCTTTTCCCCTGCTTTTTCCAGGACTGCGATCAAACCGATCACAGCGTAGTTGCCTCTCCCTTTGGAGACTGGCGCTACGTGGCTGAAGCTTCTAAAATCACCTTTCCCAGGCTCACTAGAAATGAGTGGCAGCCAGAGCTGCTCAGCTGGGTCTCGCAGGACTCCGGTGGAAGCTGCTGTGTGCCTGCTGACCTGGAAGTCTGCCGTAGATGCTGCTGGAGGGGCTCCTTTAGTTGCCGATGCCGTGTACCAGGATTCCTCTGGTGCTGGAGGATGCTGTCCTGCTTGCCTCCAGCTGCAAAGCAAAAGCCTTCTGAGCAGCTTGCCTCTCCTGCAGCGTGCCTGTAGGTCTTCAGGCTCCCGTCTGTGGGGATTTATACAGTTGTGAGGTCTTTCCTGCAATACTTCTAAATATTTGGGCTTGTAGACACAGATACTTCCCTTACAGTTTTATGCTTTCTCAGCTCTAACTTGTGGAGCTCTGTCTGCATCCCTTACTCCTTTGTTACTTGTTGCTGATTTGTTTTTAACACTTTTGCTTTGCCACTGAAACCAGGATGGCTTGTAGCAAAAGTTATCCTCTGCTGGACTGCCAAGTCCCAGGGTTTTTTGGCTTTCAAATGAATATTCGTCAAACAAATTCCCTTTCATTTTTTTGGTCTGCGTTTTCCTCCTCATCAGTTTTCTTTGTAATTTTCCTCTGCTCTGTCTTTTCCCCTTCCCTTTTCCAAAAGTTCAGTGGATTCCAGCAATGTTTAGCTCTTACCGGTGCAGCTGACGTGCTGAGCCTGAGCTTTGCTCTGCCCAGGGAGAGGGCACTGTGCCCGGGGTTTCTGAGCTCCCGCTCGTTACCTGAATTCCCATCAGGCATGCAGCATGTTTGCAAGAGGCTGAAGAGATACTGAGTACATGTGCAAAGTACCCTGTGCTTTTGTCTGAGGACACAGGCAGCGGTTCCCAGAGGGATCTGACTGCTGGGTGAAGGAGTTGCTGCCTTTGCTGCAGGCTGGGAGCACCCTGAGTCCCGTGCTTGGGTGGTAGCAGCTGCCCCCCACCACGCACTCTGCTTCCAGGGCTGCGTGGGTGCAGCAGAACAGCCGGGCCCCGCGTTACCCTTTCCGGGTGCTGACGTCTCTGCCCTCTGCCTTTGCAGTGAACGGAGACGCAGCGGGTGCTGTGGACGTCGAAGAGGAAAGGCCGGCGGCACGCCCCGCCGGCCCGGGCAGCAGTGCCAGCCCTGGATGCTCTGCCCCCTGGGTAAGCTCTGCCTTCCGCTTCAGACTTTTCTTTCCCCAGCAGGGCCAGCACGACGGAGAACTTGTGGCCCTCGGGGAGGGAGGCACAGCCCTGGCAGGACGGCTGGGGTGACACGAGCAAACTGGGGCACTGCTGTGTGCTGGAAGAAGAGGATGTTTGAGGGAGGAGCTGGTGGAAATGATGGTGGTCAGCAGAGTAGAGAGGGCCTGGGGGTGTCTGTCGGGGATCCCTGTGTCCCCTCGCGCCTGGCACAGCCTGTCCTCCCTCATCTGAGCTGTCCGGCCGGGGCTTGGCTGTTGTGGAGTCCTTCTCTGGGCTGGGGTCTGATCTGTGTCTGCTGTGGGTCTCTGGGGTAATACACAGAGAGTGAGTGTGGGTTTCCAGGGAGCTCCCGCTGAGCAGGAGGGTGCGGACATGCCCTCCAGAGACTCTGCGGAGGCACCGGCCGCTGCTGCGGGGAGGTGGGCAGGATCCTCGCGTAGCTGTGCCTGTTCTTCGCCCCGGTGCGGATGCTCCACATCCTCCTCCGTGGGACGTGGGGAAGGGGCTGGGAGCAGAGCTGGGGCTGGCTGAGCAGTGCTGGTGGGTGCGTTGGCTCTCGGTGGGGACAGCGGGCGGGCTCTGGGCTCAGTCCCACTCTGGGCTGCGGCTGGGTCCTTCTCCCCTTGTGTTTCAGGCACTTTTAATTCTGGACTGAAAACGCAAAGCGACGAGGGGGGGGCGTTGAAAATGGCTTGTGTTTCGTATGAAGGGAGCTGTTTATTTTCCTTTGGCTGAGGCGATGCCTGCAAGGTCAGGGCCTCGCTCGTGTGTCAGTCACAGGTAATTAGGGTTAACGGCTCAGTGTGCCTTTATGCGGGGTGTGTGAGGGTTTCTGTTCTCCGGCCTGGGCGCTTCCTGTTTCCAGGCAGCTGGAAAAGTCCAGTGCTCTGAAAAAGGTCTTTATTTCACTCAGAGCTTATCCCCCTTTTTGCTCCTGCCAGGTAGACTGAAGGTCTCCTTTTCCCCACCTCTCCACAGCCCGAGGTGGAAACAAGCTGTTGTTTCTTTCCCGGGGTGGAGAGGACCCCGTGAGTATCTCACGATTGGGGTTTCCAGAGGCCTGGGGAGGTTGTAAGCACTGCTTTCTAAGACACGCCAGACTTGGTTTACCTGGTCCAGCTGGGTGGCCCGCATCCTCTCCGTGCCTGTCTCCCTGCTGTGCTCACACACCAGAAAACCGTGTGTGTCGAAGCAGGACAGAGGATAAAGCTGTTGTGCTTTGGGAGATGGCTGGAGAAGAGCAGTGAAGGAGTAGTGAGCCATCCTCCAGGCTGAGCTTGCGGAATTTGGATCTCTGGAGACACCTTGGATGAACACCTTGTGTATCTGTCCCTCCCTGTCCTGGCTGTAGGATCTGTGGAGGCGAAAGGGGCAGCAAACTTCTTGCGTGTGCTGTCCGAGTGGGCTGGCTTGGGTAGCAGCTGTCCTGCTTGGTCCAGTGGAGACCACATGTCAGCGTCTTCCCAGGTGAAGGAGAGCGGAGAACTGAGTCCATCGAGGTGTCCACGGTGCGAGCCCTGCCCCGAGAGCTGCCGGAGCAGGTTCTGGGCTAACAGGGCTTTGCACAAACAGGGATTTGCTAAACGGCGATTGCACGGAACGCTGTGGCACAAAACATGGGGTGCTGTAAATGAGCTTCTGGGGATCTCATGAGACCTGGTCTAGGGCAGCTGATTTCTGGCTGCCTCACCACACCGGGGTATTGCTTTGACTGGTGGTTTGGGGCCCAGCTTGGGAGATGGGGATGCAGCTGGCGGGGGCTGGTGGAGGCAGCGATGTCTCAGGCAGAAGGGATGCAGACAAAACCAGGCCACTTCAGCTCTGGCAGCAGCGTGCTCTGCAGGACGCGGTGCGGGATAGCCCCTCGCTGGCCTGGCTCCCACGGGGATGGCTGTGCAGAGAGCAGAGCTGGGGAGTGATCACTCTTGCTTTGCTGCTCGCAGGAGCAACGTCCCCTGCAGAGCTGCCGGTCGCTCCGGCGCTGAAGAGCTGGAGAGCCGTCGCGTCCCTCCTGCTCTCTGCGTGAGCCCTGCCTCGTTTGCCGAGTGTCTCCTTTCATCGGTGGGAGCGCGGAGAGCTCTCGTGCTCAGCTTCCCTTCAGGCTCTGGAGGGGGGGCAGCTTTTCCTGGCTGCGTGCTGGTGGGTGCGCTGAGCCCCGGCCTCCCTGCTCGTGCCAGGCTGCGTGCAGATGGAGTCGAGAGTGGCTGGGTTCATGTGGGGATTCAGAGCTATTTATTCTGCTCCGAGAGTTGTCTCTGAACATCTGCACCAGATGCGGTGGGCACAAAAGCATCTCTCACACAACTGGGAGTCTGTTCTAGGGGCTGGAGGGGCCTGGAAGGTGTTCTGAGTAATTCCAGCCCCGACAGTGCCCAGAACCTCCTTCACATCCTCCTGGCTTGGGCAGAGCGTGTTTCCTCGCGGAGCCAGGGAGCGTGTGTGGCAGAGGAGCGGCCGGTCGCAGCGCTCGAGGCCTTTGGCGCGGGGTCCTGCTTCTCACGCAGGGGTTTCCGAGCGGACCGATAGCGCAAGGCCGGGGGGGAGAGCACAAGAGCCGCTGGCTCCCGCATCTGGTTCCTATCAGTGATGATCCTGCGCGGGGGACAGACGGTCGTTAGCGCGGTGTGTGTACACGGCGCTGTCTCGCCCGTACAAAGAGGTACATTATGCTGCCTGGCAGAAGGCGCGGGGCTGTGGTTTCTTACATAAGGAGGGCGTTTTGTTTGGACTGCAGGGTTGCCTCAGCGCTGCCGCTTCGCCCCGTCCGTGGCTCCCTGGATCCGCTGCCGTCGCG